GGGTTAGAAGATCGTGGTGGCATAGGAGTTCAGGATTCAATAGCAGAACAATCCACTGATTTAGAGACTGGAGATGGAGAACAGGTGTTACAAAAACTTAGTGAAGAAGTTCAAGATGTGGTTTTAAGGAAAGTGCATGGTACTGTTGAGCAAGCTTCCTCACATGCTGACGACAAATCTAATAAATTAATTGATGGTGAAAAGGAGAGTAAAAATCAAGTAAGATCAGATCAAGACCCAGGGAAAGATCAAGATGTGATTTCAAAATCTCAGAGTAAAGTCAGGCAAGACATGCTAGTGACTGAGAAAAAGTCAGAAGTAATTCAAGGAAACCAAGATGATGAAGAAGTCAATAAAAAACCTGCTGAATATGATGAGACTGCTCCTGACTCCAGCACAGAAGAGCAACGTCTCGGTGACCTTCATTTAGAAGTGGACACCTCTGTAAGTGAGAAAACACCTGCAGATACATCCGTGCCAAAAGATGAAGAGCAAGTAGAAATGCATTGTGATATTACAGTCACTGATGTATCGGATGATGAAGGTGCTAGATCAAGACGTGACAGTGATGTTAAACAAGATACCAAAGGAAACACTGCATATTCCACACATGTTGAAATAAATGTTGAGGAACATCCTGATGACGATGATGATGCTGGAGACCTGGAAGAGACTGCTGAAGTCAAAGATGTCGATGATGAAATTGAGGAAGAAAGTCTTCTTGTAAACGGCGTTAAAGAGGACTTACTGGAAGCTTCCAGCCCAGAGATAAGTACACTAGATCAGGCCAGAGCTGATATCTCCATAGCAACTCCTCTTCCTGGAGATGAGAAGGGCATTCATGATGATACAGATGATGATGTTCTTAATGATGCTGAAATGGCCAATGGTGGTGAGGGAGATGATGCTGTTACCATAGAAACAGGGCTAGGGGCTGATGAAAGGTCACCAACTGACACAGATACTGTTTCACCACAGGATGTGTCTGCCAGCACTGAGGTTCACTTCCAGGTCAAGGATGTAAGGGAGTCTACTCATAAGGTGATTGAAGAGGATGAATCAGAACCAGAAGGTGGCATTTTAATATCAGCAAGAGATGTGCTGTCAAATGATACCCCAGCTGCTGAAACAGTGGACACACAACAGCAAAGAAGTGATGGGCATACAGAAGAGTTCGAGTCTCATGAAGCTGCCATCACTGAAGAGAGGAAACACGTGTCTGCTGAAACAGTGGACATACCCAAGCAAAAAAGTGATGAGCATGCAGAGAAGTTGGAGTCTCACAAAGTCACCACCACTGAAGAGATGAGGCACATACCAGTTGATGCCACAAAGTCTATCCCACAGGGAAGTGTACTAAACGGTGATGAGCATGAATCAGAGAATGTAGAAGGTAGTTCTACTGAATTAAGTTTTCAATTGAAACCTGAGGTTGTGAGTGAAGCCACAAAAGTAGCACCAGAACAATTTAAGGAAGCTACAGCAGTCAGTTCAGGAGAAGTAGCCCAGGCTGATTTAAATGGGGTTACTACCTCTGGCATCTTAGCTGTTGTATCATCTGAAACATCTACAGGACCTAAGCATACATAGTATTACAGAAAAGTATGAATTCAATCACAATAAATTTAGTCATTTAGTAAATTTACATCCATGTATCTCACTGCTTCTTGTAAAGCCAAATAAAATGAAGAAAAGAGGATGTTAATTATATACAGATATGCTAGTAAAATTATCTGGAAACTAGCAGTCTGCAGTGTGAAAGAACATTGTTTGTTTTCATGCTTTGAAAGATCCTGTAATATGTAATTATCATGTATACACAATTTTAACTTTTTCATTACCAGGGAGTAATCATTGATTATTCTCTATATGGTACACATTCTTTATTTTTTCCGACCTATTCTTCTGTCAGTGAAACTATTCAGTTTCAGTTATTACTATATTATGTTCTAATTCTATATTTGTCAGTTCTATAAGATGTTTTTTTAAATGGTTGCTCTAAGATGTATAACAACTTTAGGATGGATGGTGTTGAATACCTGGGATTGAAAGCGTTGATATTTATGCCAGGAGTCTTGTGTTACACAAGTTACTTCCATTCACTGGAAACCAGTGGCCATATTTTAGTTGTAATGCATAAAGAACATAATTTGTTGACACTATGACAGAGTCACCTAAGTGTATTTTCAGGACTGTCATCTGTCACTTTACAATATGCTAAAGGCACTCTTGTCAATTACTACCCCAAATAGGTCACCGTGATATATTACTGTCAGAGGTGCCAGAACCAATAGCCTGCCACCAGAATTACAATCAAATCATTGACTGGCTGCTTCACAACAAACTGGCAGTAGCCCACACAGTATTGTGTAAATCTCATTTCCACTCTGAGCACAAAAATTGTCAAACACAATTTTCAGAATTTTATACACACTGCCATAGTCACAGATAAAAGGCATTCCACCTAAACTACACAGATCACAGTGTTACACCAAACGCAGTTTTCTCAAAGCAAGGATTTTGCACCTAGCGACTCTGTCATAGCTAAAACATTAAATTTTTTTTTAGGTAGCCAATGAAACAATTATCAAATTGACATTGTTAAAGAATGTACCACATGTGATAACCAAGTAATTATTTATTGTTTATATTGTGATAGTATTGCTTCTACAACTTATTGTTGTTCTAAAATGTCTCACCTCATTAATGATGTTCAGTCTTTCATTGTCTTTGTAATCATATCTCTTTGGATAAATTATTCTAGAATAACATATTGCTGTGTTAACCTAAACCTGTTGAAATATTTAACAGGCAAATTTCATGTCTTCTCAAAGCAAGGAATTCGCACCTAAGTGACTCTGTCATAGCTGAAACATAAAAATATTTTAGGTAGCCAATGAAACAATTATCAAATTGACATTGTTATAGAAGTACCACATGTGATAACCAAGTAATTATTTATTGTTTATATTGTGAAAGCATTGCTTCTACAACTTATTGTTGTTCTAAAATGTCTCACCTCATTAATGATGTTCAGTCTTTCATTGTCTTTGTAATCATACCTCCTTGGATAAATTATTCTAGAATAACATAATGCTGTGTTAACCTAAACCTGTTGAAATATTTAACAGGCAAATGTCATGGCTTCTGGCTAGATTGTAAAAAAAAAAAAAACAATGGCCACACTAATCAAATAATAATTGACTTTATGTGTGAATTTTTGCACTGAATATTTGTTGCTTACACAAAACAGTATTTAAATTTGTTTCCTGATATGTAAGGTACGTCTTCTTTGAATTATTGAAATAATTTCTCCTCACTTTTTGAAGTGACTCATTATGAAAGTGCATGCTGGTTACAGTTCCTTATTACATTTTAAATCTGGTGTTCTAATTATTTACATTTACAAAACAAAACTTTTGAATAATGAGTTAAGCAAGTAAATTATTATTATCTGACAATTTTGATGAGGAGCAGCTGGCAAAATGGTAAGAACGCTGGGCTCTCAAGCAGGAGGTCTGGGTTATTGGCAGTTTGACAATGTCGAGATAAAGCATATTCTTGCTAACAACAAAAATTATTTTTATTTTCTTTATCCTCTTTTTCCTTTCCTTGTGATTGATCAGTGAAACCCTTCTTTCTTCTTGTGATCGTAAATGATGTTTCAACACAGACAAGTTATTATGATAATGTGTGACTTGTTAGTTCTGGACTTCTTTTGAATACCATGTTGACTCGTTAGAACAGTATTCCCCTCTCACCAGCCTGAACAGAATATGTTCTATGATTTATTCTGCACAGATCACGTGGGCGCAGTGGTGAACTACTGAAAGCCTGTGCATTTTAAATCTATTATGTTTTTTTTTTTTGTATTTTTTAGGCAAAGAATTATAACCTGTTAATGTTGATCGAGTGAGTGGTAGCCATCTTTGATCCACTTCTTTTATCTCTGATAGATTGGATGACACCTGTGTTCTCAAATGATATAATTTCATTGTCATCCTAGATCAAGAAAATCATTAAGAAGTGAATATTTGATCAGTCACATAGACATTGAAGACAGCAAAGCTGATAGTCAGAACAAGAACAGGCTCAATGAAGGTTTAAAACTGTTTAACTTTGGTTATTTCCCATATAAAATAACACCTCTTTATTTTGGGAAACTATAAAAAGCTTTTGCTTTAGAAGAAGTGATTACTATAAGGAATGTAGACAATGAAGTTTACGTGTATACGTATAAACTTCCATGTTGGAGTTTGTGAAGAGCTGGCACTACATTCAACAGATATACTTCAAAATTAATAGAATCATAAATCCCTAGTCCTTCCCCTGAAACCTGCTGTCTGTCTTTTTTTTTTTTGTGCTCATTTATTACTTTTTGTTGCAACTGCAGTTTGTTTCCTTCCTGGCTACTTTATTGTTTTGTGTGTGCATGTGCTTTGGAAGACAGTGTTGTGTTATGTTACATATTTTTAATGTCAGTTCATCCTCCTCTTCCCCCTCCTCTCTTTATTTTGGTTATATGTTCTTTGAGTTCCGGGAGGAAAAAGCAAGTTCCTTTTTTTTTTTTAAGCTATATTATTTCCCCTCATGTGTGTATTGTCTTTTTAGTTTCGCTGTCTCAAGGCCTAACATTTTACACTTTAATTACAATCAACTTGATTTACTTCCATCCTGATTTTTTTTTCCGTTAGTCTTCCTTATTATGTTTAACTGTATCCTATTCACTTTATTTACAGTATATGTTAATTCAAATTGCAGGTTAAATTATGTTTTATTTTTAACACTTTATTTCCTCTTTTGATTTGCTGTCTACTTGTTTATGCCACTTGTATGAATATTTTATTTGTAACATTTTATTTACTTGATCAGCCTTTTGCCTTGAACATTTGTTAATTATAACTAAGTTAAAGCTTGCTAAGTTGAGAAACCATTCTATTTTGTTGTCTGCTTGTTTGGTTGTATTGTTTAGTTTGCCTTTTAACCTCTCCCCAATACAGGGTTGGTCTGAGAACTGTAGTGGAGCAGACACTAGGGGTCAGACAAACTGGATCCGCTCGCTTGGCAGACATAATAAATGTTTCCGAAGGACAGGCATATGAATCTGCCGGTGCGTATATTGTAGAAAGCGCTTCCAATATGAACTAACCATTAACTTTTAATAATCTTATCCTATTTATTACTTTTGAACAGCCAGTACTAAATATTACTTACATTTGATTTGTAAAATAATTCACTTAAATACATCTGTTCTTTTCCATATTAATTGCTTTTGAACTTCTCAAAGCTTTGTCTTCTTCTTATGTAGAAAAAAATGTGGGAGTAGCTCACTTTAATTGCAATATTTAAATTCTGTATCACAAAGTATTGATCATAAATCCTTTTTTTTTTTCAGATTGTTTTAGAAAAAAGATTTACTTTACTAGGCAATAATGTTCTGACACCTTCCATATTCTTCTAACATCTTCAGGATACACATTATCATTAAAGCATTTTCTATTATCTTCAATATTTTAAATGACAGGATTTAATATTTTTACAGCACGTTTGATGAATCATGACACATTTCACTTTCCATTAATGCGTGCCAAGGAAATTTTTTTCTTTTAAATTGTTATAACTGATTTACAACATATCCTAGATTTATTCCTGAGCTTTTATCTCGCAGTAGAGCTGAGAGAATTGCATCTTATTAGTCCTGTTTAAATATCATGGCATTTTCTTCTTTCCCTAGTGCAGCAGTTGTTTTCAAATTTACACACACTAGATTTCTTCACTTTTTATTTTGTGTTTATCTTCTCTCGAACTCATATTCCATAGAACTGCTGAAATTGCTAGTTTTTGCTGTAGTTTTAACAACAGAATATTGATTTCAGCTTTGATTTGTTTATCTGGGTATTATTATATTTAAATGGGGTTGTTACTTTTGAAATATTACTTTAGCACTAGTACTTTTATTAGTAGTCTTTGAAATATGGCAGTAATTTAAAAGATATGCTAGAATTTTATGTCAGATTCCTACGTTGTTTCATTATACAATAGTGACAATATATATTATTTTATAAATTTGGGTATTACAGTACCCCACAGTTTAAAAAGTTAGTTGTGTATCCTTTTGAGGATGTTGCAGTCCAAATCCCAGCATCTGTTTGCTGTTTGTGATTTTACTAGGCATTTTTCACATTTAATGTTTTGTCACTGCTTTATGAATGGTTGACTGTCGATAGCATTGATGAAACCAATGCAAGGCAGTCTGCTGCCAAATTGCTGCCAGCTGGAATCGAGCCACCTGTCTCAGAAATACAAACCATAATTATAACTCCTATGCCACAAAGGTGAAGTTACTGAAGAGTATCTGTTACAGGATGTTTCAGAACCAACTCCAAAATTTTTTTGGCTGTTTGTGATTTCACTAAGCAGTTCTACTTCAGTAGTTTTCTTGCCACTGCCACTGAATGGTCGGCTCTTGATACCACTTTCTAAACCAATGTAAGGGGTCTGCTGCCTAATCTCCCACAGCTGTAATCAAACCCGGCACCTTGAAGTATAAAGCTTGTTCACAGTGCCTTAGCCACAGACTAGTAAGGTAAAAGTATAGAACAGTCATTGAGCATCACTTTAAAAAAAAAATTCACTAATGCAGGGGTTAATGTAAAAGTTTAGATAAATTGGGCATAATTTAAATTTTTGTTTTTTATAGCAGAACAGAGGAAATTAAGAAATTATTGCAGCACGTGAAGTAATGAAACAATGACTGTGAGTTGTTTAGTGGTGAAAGAGTTACTTACTCATAATCTCGACTTCCTTCCTCTTGTAATCATACCGGGGAAAAATATATATATAAAAGCAGATGAGAGGTAGAGCTCTTCAGTTTACACAGTCATGAATTCGAAATAAACATTGCTGCTAAAAAGCCTTCATCAGCCTATGACTAGAATAAAACAGTCCCTATGTGGGTTCTGCCCCATTCTGAAAAAAAAAAAAAAAAACACGACCCACTACCCCCTAACAAACATGTCATAAAAGTTGACTAATTAAGGATGATTTTTTTTAGGTCTGAGTGCATCTGCTTGAGAACTGAGGAATAAATAGTCTGCATACCAATAACCCAGATCTGTAAAACAGATTTGTACCCAAAACTCCAGTTCTGGATCAAGACCAAAGTCCAGAAGTGGATGAACAACCAAAACTTTCTGCTAGAGTAAGAGTTTCCAGTCAGGGAATGCTAAGAAGAAGAAGAAATAATGAGCTGACTTGAGCAGAATAAGGCAAACTTATATTATGCAGAAGAAACGGACACTTTTCAATGTTATGGTGAATACATCAATATTTTATTGAGTCTGTAACATTTTAACTATAATTGTAGATACAAGATTCAGAACATTATATATAAATTTTAAGAATCAACTGTCAGTAGCCAGTTAATATAGTTTTTATTTGCTTGCTATTTTAACACTTGTCCATATTCTGATGATATAATTTACACAATTATTGTGTATACAGACAGTAGCTTCCATTCCCAAGAAGGTAAATAAGAAAACTAATATATAATTTTTAAAATAAAGTGGTGTGTGTTTTGAAACTGTAGTTTGCCTTTAATTCTCAGGTGAATGTTATCTTAATGATGCATGTTTTGGAGAAGGGGAAATGTATTCAAACATACTGTGTATACTAATTACAAACATACTGTGTATCTCTCTGTTGTTTTCACACCTAATTATTTTAATTTAATATTACTGAGAGATGCCAGTTAGTTTCCTGTGTGGTTGATCTTGTTTAGTTATAATAAATCTTCGATGATCACACTTTAAACAAACATCAGTGAGTTACTAAGAGCTAATAAAGACAATAATAGGAACCATAGTACTTGCACTGCTACCATGTTTCTTTGCCAGCTCAGTGATTTGCGTGTTTGGTTCCCTTTCTAAACAGTAAATATTTGTTTTTATTAAATTGAGTTTGGCACTTAAGTTAGGGAAATTTATAGAAAATTAAGAATGGCAACATCGTCAATCAGCAAATTCTTTACCGAATGTCACACAGTGGTACATACATTTATTAGTTAAGTGGTCAGTTGGAATTTCATAGTTCGGGTTTCAATTTCATTGCAGATGGGTCACCCTGTAAGTGTTCTATTTCTGTGCCAATATTTCTGTAGATAAGGTGATCGACTGGTCTAGTGATGAGTGCTGTAATTAACCCAGAAAGGGCAGCTGTCCTGTGGTGTTCTTTGGACAACAGGATTATTAGAGCTGATGTTCCAAACCTCAAAATGAATGGCAGGGACATCAAAAGAGGCAGTAAACGGAGGTACATGAGAAGCACCTTTGACAGAAGTTTTTCTTTCAAGGATCACATAGAAGGGGTTGTGACAAAGGCTTTTAAGGTCCTAATGCACTAAAGATTATGGCAACAATGGACATGGAGCAAAAAAAATGCTGTTCACACTTTACCAGCACTTAATCATCTCAGTAATTGATTATGGATTGAAGAGTCAGCTAGAGAAACTGGAGCGCATACAGAATGAAGCTATGCGGGTGATCCTAGGATGTACAAGAGACACCCCGATTGTGTGCATGCGATACATCATTGCATTGCTGGCTATTGCTGATAGGCTAAAGATGCTGCAGGCTAAGTCATACCTCAGAATAGCTGCAAAGAACACCCTCTGTGTGAAGCTTCGGCTGCAAGTAAAGGTCAGAGGCTGAAAAGGGGTAGATCGTGGATGGCTCAAGCAGAAGACACAATAAGATGAGTATGCTTGTTGGAGAACATTGGGCGAGGAGAAGAGTGGGTCAGAGTATTAGAGAAAAAAATCTGATCTGTGTGGGGTTATGGTCACATTGGGCCGGGTGTGCAGAGAATGACCAGCGGGTGCTACTGAGATTGAAGTCCAACAGTTGATTCACAACAATTCTCACCCAGAGGATCTGATTATCTATACAAATGTTTTGGTGTTGAGAAGAAAGAGAAGTGCCTGGTGGTTTGCAGTTAGTGCAGGATAGCCTAGCCTACGACACCACAACATCTAGCATGAGAATGGAGGTGGAGATGGTAACTGCAGCTCTTCGGTGGCATAACATGTCATAATTGTAACAGACTGAAAGCATGCTGAGAAAGGTGAAGACAGGGATGATTCGAGCAGAGTGGCAAGCTTCACTGGGAAGGTCACGGGTAGAAAGCATACTTTGGATCTTTTCTCCAGGCAAGGGGAATGGTGGGGAATGAACAGGCAGACAGATTGACCGGATCTGCACCACTTGGTGGTGAATTGATACATAACATCACAGATGTGGTCAGGGCCTTTGGGAATAGGTAACAGAGTCAGAAACAAAACAACATTATTATGGCCTGGAGAGAAAATGAGGCACCTGGGTGTAACCAAGGGGTCTGGCTGGCTCACTACACTCAGAGGAAAGCAAGATGGACATATAACCAGATTACAATTAGTACCATTAGTATTGGAACTCTGTGTTGGCTGCTGAAGATGAGGACGGAGCACACATGGGAATGCACAGAGTACTGTGATGTCAATTCTTGACTCAGCTCAACTGTGCCAGTGAAGATCACACAAAATGCCCTTCACTGTCCCATCTTAAAATTAATGAATAAAGAAGTTAATTCAGGCTAAAGCCCGAAGTATGCACATGCAGTAAATACATAAGGCAACTGTTAGAGGTGCAAAAACAAACAGTAAGCCACTAGAATCGCATTTAATCATTGACTTGTCATTATGACAATCAGTCAGTAGCCACATCCTGCAAACTACCACAGGCATAGACACAAGGCACTCCACATGAAGTGCACAGCTCATAGTGTTACATCAAGTTGGGTGACTGGGCAACAAAACAATAAGTCCCTATATGTAGAAAATGCACTAGCAAACCTTGACCAGAAACAACTAACACAGCAAGGCTTTAATGAATTAATTACCTCCCTGACATATTTGTCTACAAGTGTGTTAGTTATAGTGCTTGCATCATCTTCCCAGCACACTTTATGGTGTGCAAAGTGGTCTTTTACATATTTCAGATATATTTCATGTTTGTGTGTGACTTCAAAAAAGAAATTGTTAACAAATGTCTTTCAATTTGTAAAACAAAAGAATTA